CGTTACTGCCCTGCGGTCTGAAGCTGAAGCTGTGGTTCCGGCCCCTCCCCTGGCATGGGTGCGGCCCCAGAGGCCAGTGACCTGGCTGGGTGCAGCCCCAGGCAACCATCTGTCTTGGTCAGCAGGGACCGTGGCCAAGGGCTGACCAGGGCCGAGTAGGCCTTGGGGCTGGGAGCGGCCGAGGGTGGAGAGAAGTGGGCACAAGCCTGGAGATGATCTTGGTAACAAGCAGGATCAGGTGGCTCTGGCATTGGATCCAGGCGGTGACTGTCTTGCCCAGAGGATCAGAGACAAACTCGGCAGTTGACACCCAGAGCAGCGATTTTCAAACTGAGTTGAGAAATCAGTGTGGGTGGTGCATTAAGGATAAAGAGTAAAAAACAAAGAAAAAAGCAAAACAAGAATAGAAAATAGCAGAGTGCATTGTACAGAGTGAGGCTAAGTTCAGTTTCCTGACATTTTAACTTACATTTTGTAGGTATGCACTGGGTTAGAATATAAATATGTTTTTTTCTGTGATAACTGTCGAGAAAGTGCTGAAGGCGACTTCCCTGGCAATCCAGTGGTTAAAAATCTGTGCTTCCATGGCAGGCGGCACAGGTCTGATCCCTCTTCAGGAAACAGATCACACGTGCAGTGCGGTGCAGCCAAAAAAATAAATGAATGCAAATAAATTTAAGTAAGCATCTTTAAAAAAACAAAGAAAGGAAAAGTGCTGAAACCTCAGGTCAATAAGCCTGCCTGCTAATGGAAAGAGCTGTTAAGAATAATTGGAATTACTGACTTGATCTAAAAAAATTTTTTTGCCTTTCACTTGTTTATTATTTTATATTGAAAGCAACCCAGCTTTATAAAAAGTTAAAACAGTATAGAAGTGTACAAAATGTTAAAAACTTTCCTCCACCCCCAGCTCCCGGCCCCACAACCCATCTCAGTGCTGGTAATGCTCTTATGGGCCCTTCAGGGAAGTTTTAACACAGCTACAAATGTACCTTTTCTTTTAGCACAGATCAGGTCACCATAGTGTAACTGCTCTTCTGCAACTTGCTTTTTAAATTTCATGGTTTTTCTTGTCTATCTTATTTTTTTTTCTTTTTTTTAACTTTTCGTTTTATTGAAATATAATTCACAAACCTTCCAGCTCATCTGTTTACAGTGTACAGTGCAATGGTTTCTAATCTATTTAGAGTGATGCAACCAACACAATCAATTTTAGAACATTTTCATCAAATCAAAAGAAACCCTTTTGCGATTGTTCCCCGTTTCCCCCCAACACTCGCCTCTCCCATCCTTGGGCAACCACTCATATACCTTCTTATAGATTTGCCTTTTCTGGAATTTTTCTATAAATGGAATCATTCATTTTATTGTCTTTTTTTGAACTCTTCTTTCACTTAGTATCATCAGAGCTTCATTCCTTTTCCTCGCGGAATAGTGTTCTGTTATATAGATAGACCACATTTTATTTATCTGTTCATCAGTTAATGGGTATTTGGGTTGTTCCCCCTTTTGGCTATTATGTATAATACTGCTGTGAAACAAAAGTCACAAGTTTTTGTTGTGGACCTGTTTTCATTTCTGTTGTGTATATTATACCTTGGACTATAGTTGCTGGAGGGCTTCCCAGGTGGTGCTAGTGGTAAAGAACCTTCCTGCCAATGCAGGAGGCTTGAGTTTGATCCCTGGGTGAGGAAAGATCCCCTGGAGGAGGGGATGGCAACCCATTCCAGTATTCCTGCCTGGAAAATCCCATGGACAGAGGAGCCTGGCCAGTTATAGTCCATAAAGTTGCAAAGAGTTGTACACTAGCATGAGCAACTTAGCACACAGGCATAATTGCTGGAGCAAGTGGTAATTCTGTGTTTTAACTTTTTGAGAAATTGCCAGACTGGTTTCTAAAGTGACTGCAACATTTTACATTCCCATTAACAGTGTATGAGGGTTTCCAATTTCTCCACATCCTCACCAAAACTTGTCACTTTCCGTTAACAAAAATTTTTTTTTGGCAGCACCCTACAGTGTGTGAGATCTCAGTTCCTTGACCAACAACTGAACCCTTGCCCCCTCCAGTGGAAGTGTGGAGGCCTAACCACTGGACTATCCTACTGCGTGTGACTCTTATTTGTGCTTCCCAGTGGGCTACCCTGGTAGCTCAGACAGTAAAGCATCTGCCTACAACACAAGAGACCCAGGTTCAATCCCTGGATCGGGAAGATCCCTTGGAGAAGGAAATGGCAACCCACTCCAGTATCCTTGCCTGGAAAATCCCATGGACAGAGGAGCCTGGTAGGCTACAGTCCATGGGGTCACAAAGAATCGGACACGACTGAGCAACTTCACTTTCACTTTCACTTTCAATGGCTAATGATGTTGAGCCTCTTTTCATGTGTTTATTGGCCATGTGTATTTTCTTTAGAGAAATGTGTATTCAAATCCTTTGCCCATTTTTATTTGGGTTATTTTTCTTTTTATTGTTAAGTAGTATGTGTCATGGTGCTTCCCGGTGGCTCAGTGGTAAAGAATCCATCTGCATTGCAGGAGACACGAGGTTTGATCCCTGAGTTGGGAAGATCCCCTGGAGAAGGAAATGGCAACCTTCTCCAGTATTCTTGTCTGGAAAATTCCATGGACAGAGGATCCTGGCAGGCTACAGTCTGTGGAGTCGCAAAGAAGTTGGACATGGCTTAGCGATTCAACAACAATAGTATGAGTCATAGTCCCATATCAGACATATGATTTCCAAAAATTTTTTTTCCAATATGTGAGCTGTCCCTCTGCTCTCTTGGTGCTGTCCTTTGAAGCACAAATGTTTTTAATTTTGATGATGTCCAATGTATCTATTCTTTTGTTGCTTGTAATTTTAGTATCTTAAGGCTTTGCCTAACTCAGCTTTGCAAAGATTTTCTCCTGCGTTTTCTTCCCAGAGTTTTAGCTCTTATATTTAAGCCTTTGTTCCATTTTAAGTTAATCTGTATAATGTAAGGAAGGAGTTCAGCTTCATCCTTTTGCATGTGTATATTCACTTGGTCTGTCACCATTTGTTGAAAAAATTATTCTTGGGACTTCCCTGATTGATGGTCCAATTGTTAAGACTCTCTGCTTACAACGTAGGAGATGTGGGTTCCATCGCTGATTGGGAAACTAAGATCCCACATGCCACATGGTGTAGCAAAAATGAAAAAAGTCCTAATGAATAGATAATTCTTTCCCCATTGAATTGTCTTAGCACCCCTTTCAGAAATCAATTGGCTGTAAATGTTCATTTCCAGACTCTCAATTCTATTCCGTTGATCTCTGTGTCTGTTCTCTTGCCGCTACCAACTGTCTTGATTAACTTTAGCTTTGTAGTAAGCTTTGAATTCAGAAAGTATGATTCTTGCAACTTTTACAAGATTCTTTTGGTTATTCTGGGTCCCGTGAATTTCCATGTGAACTTTAAGACCAGTCTGTTAAATTATTCATTAGAGGCACTGGAATTTTGATAGTGATTGGGTTGAATTTATAGATCAATTTGGGGAGTATTTCAAACTTAGCTATGTTCAATTTTCTGATCTTTGAACACAGGATATCTTCACACTTACTTCAGTCTCTTTTTCATTTCTTCTGACATGCTGTGTTTTTCACTGTTCAAGTCCTGTACTTCTTTTGTTTGTCAGGTTTTGGGGTTTAATTTTTTGGCCGAGTGCCTTCTGGGATCTTAGTTCCTTGACCAGGGATCAAAACAAACCGTATCCCCTGCCATGGAAGCATGGCCTCCTAGCCACTGGCCTGCCAGGAAATTCCCTAGCCAAGTTTTTTCATTCTTTTTGATGCTATTATAGGTGAAATTGTTTTCTTAATTTCATTTTTGAGTTTTCATTGTTAGTACATAGAAATACTGTTGATTTTTTTATCTTACAGTATTGCTGAACTCTTTCTTGACAGTCTCTGAATGTCTTTGTATATCTATATTCCTTTTTCTTGGTAACAGTCACATAGTATTCCATGGTGTAGAAAAACTGTAGTTTATGTAACAGGCCTCCATTGATGGTCACTGTGGGCTTTTCCCTCTTTTTGCTGTTACTGATTATGCTATGGAGAACACTTCTTCAGACCACTCATCCATTCCAGGGACGTGTGTTAGGGCCTGCTCTCTGCCAGGCACTATTTAAGGCACCAGGGCTGCAGATGATAAAGAAGTAGATGAGAGGATTTCAGCTTGGGCAAATCTCTGTGAAGAAAACAGAATGGGGCGACTTGCTAGGGAGTGACTGGATGTGCATTTGAGAGGGGTTCTTTGAATTGAATCAAAAAAGATGTCTCTGGAAAGGTGACTTTTGGACTGGGATCCAAATGATGAGAAAGACCCACTGTGGGGATATTGGGAAGGTTTTCCAGGCACAAGTGACAGCAAGTACCAAGGCCCTGAGGTGCGAATGGGCCCCCAGTATTCACAGAACACAAAGAAAAAGCCCGTGGGCTGGGAGAGCTGCCAAGGCCGGAGGGGACGTGGACAGGGGCCAGCTTAACACAGGCCTTGTAGCCTTAAAAGGCATGTGGATTTTGTTAAGAATGTGAAGAGAAGCTGCTGCAGGGTGTTAGGCAGGAACATGATTTGATGTAATTTATGTTCTGAAAAGATCGGCCTTGTGACTTAAGAAGCATTTATTTTCTGTCCCAAGCTCTGAATGCTTCAAAGTGGAATTACTGGGTGGAGGGGTGTGTGTGTACCTTTATTATTATTATTATTTTTTATTTTTATTAGTTGGATGTGTGTACCTTTAAAATGTTCCTAGCTACTGCCTGCCAAGTGTCTCCCCTCTAGCTGTCTTTCGCTGTCTGAGGGTGACGGCTCCTTTTATGCCAGTGGTATTTGGGGTGAGGTGCCCGGCGACCTCTCAGCCCCTGGGCCCCAGCACCCCCGTTTCTCTTGCTCCCCTCGCAGGACCCTCACCTCTGCATCTGCCCAGTAACTCTGGCTGTGCCGCCCGGCCCTCGGGTAAGACGGGCGCCCCAGGACCATGGCCGAGGAAGACCTCATCTTCCGCCTGGAAGGCGTGGATGGCGGCCCAGCCTCCCGGGCTGGTGATTCAGACACAGACAGCGACGATGATGAGGAGGGTTACTTCATCTGCTCCATCACCGATGACCCCGGGGCACACCAGAATGTCAACTTCAAGGTTAATAACTGCCACAGCAACCTAGCAAAAAGTGAGTGCTATGGCTCCAGTGGGTCCCCAGCCGGCTCCTTCCATTTCAAGGTGAGTGGTCCCTGGTGCCACCCTCCCCACCCCAGGTGAGCCCCAGCTCACCTGCCGTAAGGAATGGGGGGTTGGGGTCGCTGGCTAAGGTCATTTCCAGACTCTTGCCAGTGCTGTAAATTCTAGATCTGAGGCAGTATCTGTTAAGTGGGAAGATTTCAATACAAGTTTTTTGTTTGTTTCAATCGTTGAATTGTTTCAATACGAGTTGCATTCCTTTCCAGCAGTATTTTACCAATATCTACACTGGGCCCACTAGTGTGGGTTGTGGGAACCTTGCCCAGTTTTTTAAGACCCAGAATAGAACAGAATAGAAAATATTGGAGAGGGAAGAGGGAGGGAAAAAAATATCAGCTCTGACAGTCGTGATCATATTTTAGGGACATGTACACATGCCTTTACACACACACATGCAGTGACCAAATTTGTTGTTGATAACAAGATTCTCATGACATAAGGTTTGTTAAGTATTTTTATTTTTTCCCTGTATGTGTGTATGTGGGTCCAGAGATAGGGTGTAAAATGTAGTTTTTTATGTTGGTTGTGGTCAAAAGAGCCTCTGCTTAGGGTTGGACATCCTTCTTCTGGATCGAGGAATAGGGTGCTTATATTATTAGGAATTTGTGTTCATACCCTGGCAAAGCTGGTTATAGAGATGAAGGAGAAAGGCAAACATTATTGGACTTTTGTATAATAACTGGTGGTGAAAAAGTTAAAAATGCAATACTGTCATCCTTTTTTATTCCTCACAAACAATAAGTATCAATTCGTACTGTGAGCAGAAGGCCTATTACCACTTTGGGATTTGAAATTGGAGTCGTTCTCTAATTGCAGAATCTGTTTTTAGAAAATTAATAATTTTAGTTCTCAGACAGTTGGATACTTTTTCCTTTCAGGCCAGAGTTCTAGCTTAAGTCTCTCAGGGGCAGGCAGCTCCAGAAATAGGCCTGTGGGTCCCCTCTGAGGTTGGGGGGCCCTGAAGGGTCAGGTTGCGGCTTGCCCTGCCTTCCTGTCCTAAGGCAGCTTCTGAAACACACACTCCCCCCGCAGAGGGCTGCGTGGGGAGACGGGAGAGCAGCCTGGCCCCCAGTCTGTCTACGTTGAGTCGGGGGGCGCACGGAAACCCTGATCCCTGTAGCTCCATGCGCAAGGGAATCAGGCGCCAGGGGCCTAGAGGGGTCAGGGCTTGTGGAGTGTAAACCAGCTCATGCTAGCTCAAGGGGAAAAAAGAGGAAATCTCTTCTAACAGTCAAGAAGTGTTTCTTGAGACCCAGGAGCAGAAACAACGTCTGGTCTCTGAGGACAGATCCAGGAGCCTGGAAGGCCACAGAACTGCCTCTCTGGCCCCTTCCTCCATCTCCTTGTCTATTCTTTATTCTTCTCTGCTCCTCAGTGTACATGATGGGAAAATGGATCCCCAGGAGTCCCTTCATTACAGACAAAGCCACATGCAAAGATGGATTTGACCCTCTCCCATCGCAGCTGTGGGAGGAGAAAGCCTGTTTGGTCCACCTGAGTCAGACATCCTCTGTCTCTGGTCGTCACCTCTGGCCCAGGGCACAGGGTGGGGGTGGGGATCACAGAACAGGGGGCTGCTTCCAGAGAAGTGGGATCCTGGTAGCCTCCTAGTGGGGCAGACCCCTCAGAATGGCTCCATCCGCAGCAGCTGCCTGTGGGCCCAGGAGCTGGAGGGTCTCAGACAGTGTGACCCCAAAACACAGTCTGGTGAATCCTTTAAAGGAAACACAGGTGAGTGGTCCAGCAAAGGGAGGTTTGTCTATAGGTCTGGCTTAGGACAGGAGCTTCATGAGGGCAGGACCCTGTGGCCTGCTTATCACTCATGCCTAGTGCCATGCACATAGTAGGTGCTTTATTTGGAATCAGTGAGGAGATGGATGAGTGCTAAACTCACTTTGCTGTGGGTGCTGTCTCATCAGAGGACAGATAGATGGTACTTACATAAAACAGAAACCTCTGTGGGCCATTTGACAATCATTATTAAAGTAAAAAGTATTTATATGTCAGAGTTATAGTAAACATAGACTATTAGTTTCAGGTGGGGACAATTGTTTATTTGGTGGGACTGTCCCTCATATTGTAGGACTTTCAGCATGTCTCATCCCAGCTCACTAAATGTCAGATTCCCGCCTATTCGTTGTTATATTCCTCCCTATTTATTATGATGACCCAGAATGTTCACCACCGTACATTTGCTAACGGCACATGAGAGGATACCACCCTCAGTTGAGAACAAGCAATGAAACATTTGTGCAAGTGTTGAAGTTTACATATTCAAATATGTGTTTTGCAATATTGTTTGTAATAAAGAAAGAATGGAAACTGCTAAAATATTCCATTGAGGAGGGGCCTGTTTAATTATAGACCATGGTCCTAGCAGAATGCTGTATTTACATTAAAGCAAAGATGTTTCTATGTGAATTGACTTGAAACGGTGCCAAGATATACACAAGATATATTTTTTTGTGGCATGAAACCAAAATCCATGAAAAGCTCTTGGGATAGTGATGGTCCATAATAAGAACAAAATGTTAGCTATTTTTATTTTTATGTGCTGAGAGGTAAAAAAGCAAGTTGAAATATATAATATGATTCCTATTTGTATCAAAAAACAGATACACATATATTAATATTTTCTTAGCAAACACTTATATAATGTTATAAACAAATTTAAAAATTACTAATGAGAAGAGGGAATTTGTATCCAACAGAGAATCAGTGGTAATTCTCTCTGCGGGAGAGTGATCTAAAGGGGGACTGTGATTATTATAATACATTGCATATATATTTTATATATATATATATCTTTTCAACAGATGCTACTTTAAAAATTTTTTTATTTATTTTTAGCTGCTCTGGGTCTTCACTGCGACACCCAGGCTTTTTCTAGTTGCGATTAGCAGGAGCTACTCTGTGGTCCATGGGCTTCTTGCAGTGGCTTCTCTTGTTGCACAGAACAGGCTGTAAGGCACGCGGGCTTCAGTAGTTTCGGCTTCTGGGCTCTGGAGCACAGCCTCGGTAGTTATGGTGTATGGGCTTAGTTGCCCCACGGCATGTGGCGTCTTTCCCGACCAAGGATCGAACCTGTTTCTTAACCACTGGTTAAGGATTCTTCTTAACCACTGGACCACCGGGGAAGTCCCTACATTATATACATTTTAAAACATTTGAAACTTATAAAACTACATGTATGTATTACTTGTGTACCCAAAAGGATGTTTTTAGAAGAAGAAAAATAAAGAGAGCAACACAGCCAGTAACTGCTCCTCCCCCAAAGAAACATCAGTAATTGGCTGCCCTTAAAACTCATGGGCTTTCCCCAGGGTTCAGCAGTAAAAAAATTTGCCCACAGTGCAGGAGACTCAGGTTTGATCCCTGCCTGGGTGAGGAAAATCTTCTGGAGGAGGAAATGGCAACCCACTCCAGTATTCTCACCTGAAAAATCGCATGAATAGAGGAGCCTGGTGGGCCACAGTCCAAAGGGTCACAAAGAGTTGGACACAACTGAGTGAGCACAAAACTCAGAGATTCTGCAAGTCAAAACCCTCACTGAGGATGGGAGCTCATGACCTCCAGGGACCCTGCACCTTTCCTCGCTCCTGCAACGAGCATTGCTTTTCTCACCTCTGCCTGAAACCTCTTTCAGCTGACATCTGGGTCTGTTAAAATGACCGAGCTCCTGGTCTGGCTCCCTTGACATCCTACCCTGGCTATCTCCTCCACATTCTCTGGGGCTCATAGCAGACCTTTCTGTCCACCTGTCATTCTTGAATGTCGTTCTGTTTATGAGTCAGCCCCTGACCGCAAGGTGAGGGCCTGTGTCCCGTTGCACTTCCCATCCCTGTTCTCGGCGGAAGGGCCATTTAAGGACAAGATGTAGCTCTCGGCTGCCTACTCTCCTAGGTGATAGAAGGCAGGCTCTATGGCATTCTTGTTGCCAGTGGTGACTTCAGAGGGAGGCAGCAACTCAGTTTTCCAAACCTCCTTCTCCCTGGCACTCAACAAATCGAACATGGTTTTTCATTTACTGTCGACATGGCAACTTGGGTTGTTTAATCAAAATGACCACCTGGCGTTCCTCCAAGGTGGCGCCACCCTGGCAGGTACCAGGCATGTATTGTGAACTGTTGAGTCTGTCGCTGTCAAGGCCAGGGAATGTGGCCTGAATCCCCAGGGGGATGGTAGCAGACTCGCTCAGGGGGCCCTCCCCTGGGTAGAATATCCGACAGCCAACAACAGAAGGATGTTTATAGTGGATGCTATCATAATGTGGGAAAGTGCTTCCATTCTGGAGTTAATTTTAAAGAACAGGGTATCGAGTATGATTATAGCTCTGTAAATACACACACACAGACAGAGCAAAACCCTAAAAGAAAGTACATCAAGTCTCTGTGTACGATATTATATAAGTACTTTTACATGGACATATTTTTTCTTCCAATTTTTGCTCACAGTGTGTATATATATGCTGTTTTTCACATGCATAGATGTATGTTTATGTATATATGCATTTGGTAATATATGTGCTCTCACAGGTACTTGCATATAGACTTGTTTTTGTAATCTTGTTTTGTTGAATGTTTACGTTTGTTATTCATAGTTCTCATTCAATTTTTTTTCATAACTCTGAATGACCCTCTTTTACTAATCAGATTTACTCATATAATATAAAACATTTGCTCTAAAATATATTCCAAATATTTTACCAATAATTCAAAATCATTTATATGTGACATTTTGATTTGGAAGAGACTTGGGCTTTTTTCTAACTTGCCTTCAATTACTCTATTAATAAAGTTTGTAAAAGAGAAAAAAAGAAAGAAAATACATCAAGATGCCAACAGAGATTGTCTTTGGGTGGGATTATTCCATTTCTGCTTCTGTTTCACAATGTCTGCATTTTTTAGCATTAACATATGTAGCATATAGTATGTTTTCAATTTTTTAATGAAGTGGAAATTTGTATTTAAAAGAATTGTTTT